GCGAAGGGGGGAGCAGAGTTTAAATAGTGCGTGCTAGGTTTGAGTTGATGGGCTGGGTGATTTAATATACATTATTGGGCTGGGCTCACTTAAAGCTTATGGTATTTTAACTTCAGATCTTAATTGAGCCATTTGAAATTGATTTATGTCATTTATAAATAACCATTTGATATGTGAAGAGTTGTTATGCATCGTTATTATTATTATATTATAATTTTTTGATTATTATTAATATGATTGCCATTGTAATTGTATCATTATTTTATAAATTATTTATTTGAGTAATAATAATGTGCATTACGCTCTCATTTCTTTGACTGAGTTTTTTATATTGAACAAAAATTGCGAGTCGAATCACTCAAAAAACAAACGACATTGTGATGTTATTGAAATAGATTCTCGGAACACAACGTCAAATGAAGAGACAATTCTTCGTAACGTCTTTGTAGAAAAAATTTATATTGCAGTGTATATCGAGAGTAACAAATTGTAAGAGTTTGAAAATATTGATTTGTGGTGAAGATGACAAACAAATCCATCATACATTCAATGTTTTTTACAATGAAGTGTTTCGAAATGTGTAATCTGTGGAAACCTTATTGTAATATTTATTTACTCCTTATTCCAAAACACACTTCGTACCAATTATGGGTCATAACTATCTTTTTCTTTTATTGCCAAAAAGAAACTATCTTTTTGTTTAATTAAAACTTTGTGTGTGTCTTACATCCACACTCTTTGCGCATTATCTACACATTAACTAATAATGCTAACAAATAATATGATATAGCTACTACTTATGATTGTCCCGTGCATCGCACGGGTGAGAATCTAGTTCATTCAAGGATGCAATGATTCTCTAATGACTCATAACAGGATGGAGCTAGGGCACTTGATCGGATTTGGCCGTATAAAAGATATTTATAGAAAGAGTTTTACTCAAAAAAAAATTACACTAAAAATATAGGCATTGTTTAAACATGGGGTGGGTCGAGGCCTAGGTTAGCCCCCTAGGCACTTTTAAATTGATGAGGCTAAAAATTAAATTTCCAATGCATTAATAAATAAATGTAGTCAAAGTAAAATATGTGAGAGAGAAAATTCCCCTACATCTTCTACCTACAAACAATATATATGAGAGAGAAAATTCTCCTACATCTTCCACAAATGTGTAATGATTCTCCCAATAACAATTTTATTTTCTCGTCTTCCCCATCTTCATTATTTAATTACATCGTTCCTTTTTAATTTACTTTTTACCGTTAGATTGTTAGTGTTTTGAGTATTTTTTCATACTGAGTATATATTTTCAACTGCAAGAGAGCTTATGTTATGGAGGTTTATTACTATGAATAGCGGGAGCTTTTGATTCGCAAGTTTATTTTCATTTTCTAAATTTAGTTTGATTTGACTACTTATTCTAGTTGGTATTTTCATTTACCGTCTTCACTTTAGACCAACTCAAAAAAGAAGGAAATAGACCAACTCAAAGTTTTTTTATTAGAACTAATTAGATTTTCATTTGCTAATTTTTTATATATCAAACCAGTGCACTTCAAATCCTAAAACACTTTAAGAAAGTTTTCCCAAACTAATTTATTTATTTTTAGATATTTCTCTTTCGAGGCCTGATTTTGATTTTACAGACTTCAGTAGCAGTGGAATTGGTTGAATCTGTTCAAATGGATGAAGTTCTGAGAGAAGTGGCTGAATTAGTTGAATCTATTGATTTATGGATAAATTTAATTTAAAACATATTTTATTAATGAAATAAAGAAAAGAATTATATGAAAAGTTGCTTAAACAGATCATCTATAGTAACTTCAGCAAATTTAGAGACAACAATTACTTCAATCAAGCTAAACATAAATAGATCACATCAGTTCAAACAACCCAAAAATGTTTAATCGATTTTTTCATATTTGTCCCTTTTCTTAAAAAAATCGAATACCGTACTATTAGAAGTTTCATTTATTAGCATTTTAACACCTGATGTGGTTAACATTTTAATTTGCTAATTCTCGAATTTCGAGTGACATTATAATAAGGAAAGAATAAGGTTTATAACAATTTAATAAAGGGAGTATAACATTATGTTTTTTAAATGTAACACCATTAGATAGATGACGTATATTAGCATGGGAGTGTAACATTATGTTTTTTTATATATTCAATATTGATCTCAAAAGAAAGATCACAATTTTTTTTTGAGTTTTGATATATTTTTTATAAAAATTGAAGCAAAAACAAAAAAGTTATAACATTTTTTAAAAAATTGGGGTTTTTTATAGCCTGGGACGCATCAATTACATCTTCATTCCTTGCCTTTGTTATTGCCAACGTTTAGAGTGAAATGAAAAAAGGCCACGTGACATTCTTATACAAAATGAGTGAATTGAGAAGAGAATGACATACAAACTTCATTAAGGGTAAAATTATATTTTTATGAGCTATTTCATTTCTTATAAAAGTGTTACATCATGGTCGGTCTACATACTCAAATAAAAAAAGTGTTATTTTCATAATTTAAAAAAAAATCATATTTTTATAAAAATGTGTGGATCGTTGCGCTTACCGCTACACTAAAAGCAATCGCTGATAGTGAAGCACGCTCCTCCCCCTTTATAGCACAAGCGAAGCGCCACGCGGTCCGATTGCACCGGCAAGCTGGCTGTTGCTGGCACCGCATACCCGCGGCCCAACAATCTCCCCCCAGCACCTGCCAGCCTACAACTGCGCAGCATGCTGTTGCCGGGGGTCGAACCCGTGACCTTGTCTCTGATACCACTTGTGGATCGTTGCGCTTACCGCTACACTAAAAGCAATCGCTGATAGTGAAGCACGCTCCTCCCCCTTTATAGCACAAGCGAAGCGCCACGCGGTCCGATTGCACCGGCAGGCTGGCTGTTGCTGGCACCGCATACCCGCGGCCCAACAATCTCTCCCCCAGCACTTGCCAGCCTACAACTGGGCAGCATGCTGTTGCCGGGGGTCGAACCCGTGACCTTGGCTCTGATACCACTTGTTGGTCCCGGTTGTACTGGATACAGTCTAGAGGGGGGGTGAATAGACCGTATTGGTTTTTAACTTTTTCAAGCTAAGTACCAGATTTGACAGAATAGCTTGTTCTGTTGGTAGAACAGACTGGCAGCGGATGGGGTTCTGGTAGGGAGTTCTGTTAGTAGCCTCAGAGAAGCAAATGCAGTAGGCCTTCTGTTAACTCACAAGACAAGTTCTGCTGAACACAGATACCAAGTCTCTGGAGTTAAGCAGTTCAAATAAAAGTAATTAATGTAATGCAGTAAGTAAATGACATCAGGATTTTTTATAGTGGTTCAAGGAACAACTTGTTCCTCTAGTCCACTGTTCCACTAAGCTTGTAAAAACGTCCGTTTACAATGTCTTAGCCCTATCACTTAAGAAGCTCTCCACGTCTTCTTCAAGTGTAGATGTCTTCTTGGATGCACTTCCGGCTTCCCTAAGACTGGTCCTTTCACTGAGCTTTCCCAGAAGTATCACCACTTCACTGCTCCAGGTACTTGGACGTCCTTCTTGTGAAAGAAGAGGTTCTATTTAGAACAGAGGTTCCTCCAACTTGCTTCGTTACAAAGAATTTGTATGAGATGAGTTTGAAGAGTTGAAGAACACTTAGAACTTTGCTTGAGTTGGAAATAAGGGTTTTTCCAACTTCTGCCTTCTCTTGTAGAGGATGATGAAGATTTAATCTCAAGGAGACTTTTTGCGTTTTTAGCGTTTGAATATCTTGTATGTGCAGAGTTGTAGCAAAAGTTATTGCAAAGTTTTCTAGCAAAGTTACCCGGTTGTTCTTCGCAGTGTATCTTTTATACTGAGGTTGTCTTCCCGTTGGAGGAGAAGGAGGACAACTGCATTAAATGAGCGAGCAGTTGACTTGACCAGTAGGACCCGGTAAAGTTGGCGGGTTACTATTTTGGGATAAAGTAATCCTGACATAGCGACCAATCATCTGCAATTACTCTACAAAGTACGGGAGGCATTAAATGTGCATTTAATGCGCGTACTGTAGCTTTTCCGTTCAAGACTCCTAGCCGTTGAAGGAATCTTTCAGTTGGTTTCCCGGCTTGGTGAAATTCTTCTAAGTGTCAGGCCTTCTGGTGTCTTTAGCAGAGAGTTGATCAGAGAAGGTCTTGAGCACTTCTGTTGAAGAGATATCCAACAGAGAACCAGGAGGGTTTCTGTCAGAGTAAAGGCTAACAGAGACCCTGAGGTCTTCTGTTCTAAAGCAGAGAACCAAAGGCCTTCTGTTCAACCAAAGCCTTACCAAGGGTCTTCTGTTCTGGAGGCTTTCTGCTTTGTAGGCCTTCTGGTCAGTCGATTATACTAAAGAGATTTACAAAGAAAAATTCTAATACATTAAGTCTAAAGAGGGGTACTCTAAAGTCCTAATTAATCTGGCATCATCAAAATCTAATTACAAATATTCCTTACAATTTCCCCCTTTTTGATGATGCCAAAACCCTTTAACTATTTTCAAAGAAGTGCCTTCACCATAAAGAATTAAAGTTTAAAACTTTCATTAAAATCTTGGTGGGCAACTTGGCATAGGAAAATAGTAAGAGTACAGTACATTCAGATAGTGAAGCACGCTCCTCCCCCTTTATAGCACAAGCGAAGCGCCACGCGGTCTGATTGCACCGGCAAGCTGGCTGTTGCTGGCACCGCATACCCGCGGCCCAACAATCTCCCCCCAGCACCTGTCAGCCTACAACTGCGCAGCATGCTGTTGCCGGGGGTCGAACCCATGACCTTGGCTCTGATACCACTTGTGGATCGTTGCGCTTACCGCTACACTAAAAGCAATCACTGATAGTGAAGCACGCTCCTCCCCCTTTATAGCACAAGTGAAGCACCACGCGGTCCGATTGCACCGGCAGGCTGGCTGTTGCTGGCACCACATACCCGCGGCCCAACATAATTCATTTGAAATAGACTCCATTAGAGATTTGGATCAGTTTCTGATTGCCAAGGTTAAATTCCTACCTAGGGATTTTAATTTCACGTTTTCGCCGGTTTATGGGTTACATACAAGAAGAGATAGGAATGCTTTATGGGAAGGAATGGTCAATTTTGTCCATACGGACAATTCGCCATGGATATTGGGGGGTGACTTTAACGTTGTCGCAGCTGTTTCGGAATATAGAGGTAATTCTAGCCCATTGCTTAATGATATTGGGGATTTCAGAGAATGTATTGACTCGTGTGAGTTGGTTGATATGCCAATGGTTGAGTCTACATATACATGGACGGCTGTTCGATCAAATGGAAGAGTTTGGGAAAAGCTTGATAGATATTTGGGAAATCAGGAGTTCATAAATCAGTTCGGGGCAGTTTGTACATAGCATTTGAGTAAAACGCCCTCGGACCATTGTCCGACTATGTTGATTTGTGAAGAGGATTCACCAGGAGGACCAAAACAGTTTCGGTTCCAACACATGTGGTTTACTCATGGAGGTTTCTTGACTTTAGTAAAGGAAAGGTGGTCTTCTTACCCCACGCTGGGGGAATGAGGGGATTGTTGGACAAGCTACGCAGTTTGAAGCTTGATTTGAAGAAGTGGAGCAAAGAAGTTTTTGGGGACATTTTCCGGGAACTTAAGAGGTTGGAAATTGAGGCTATGAAAGCTGAATTTTTTTTGAGGAAGATAGCTCAGAGATTAATAGATGTTCGTGTTTCAAGAAGCAGGCGGAGTTGCTATTGAGGGTGAAACAACAAGATATGTTTTGGCGTCATAAAGCTAATGTTAAGTGGCTACGAGAAGGGGATGAAAACGCTCGTTTCTTCCATGAAGCTGCAAAGGAGAAAGCTAGAAGACAACACATTATGGCTATTAAAAAGCAGAGTGGCCAATGGTGTTATGATACAAAAGAAATTGGAGAGGAAGCGGTTGCTTTTTTACCAATTTATATGCGGCTGAGCACACTCAGTTTCATGAAGAGTTACTAGGTAATATTCCTTGCTTGTTAAACGAGGCTGATAATGATTTTCTTGGTATGCTGCCTTGTAACATCCCTGTTTTTCCAACCCAAAACAATGATATATTTAAATGAAATACTTTATTGATTCATCAAAGAGTTGAAGAAATACAGCGGAAGTCTAAAAGGGAAATGGGTGTTACCGCCACATTCGGTCATCTCTTAACCGAATGCACAGACAACTCGAAGTAAAACAACAAAAACTAATGTAATAATAAGTAAATGTTTATTTCATGACTAGATTTAACTAAGGCATCTTCTAATTCGCACTCAAGCTCGAGCAATCCATCAATCCACATAGGCATCCAACTCATCACCTGATAAAATTTAAGGGAGAAGAGAGACAAGAGAAATAACAAAAATTAGCTTTAGAGCTAAGTAAGTACTACCCAACCCCGTAAAATAATCAGGTTTGACTAAAATAGATTTTTATATAATATTATATAAAAATGACGCACTCCACCAAAATACTTTTTTCTTTGATTTTTCTTAAAATCACTTCTTTGCTAAAATCTTCATCTTCTCTTGGAAATATCACAGTAATTCTCCTCTTTAGATTTCTTAAGAAAATTTCTTATTCTCTAACTTCCTAGTAATTTAGAAGGGCGGTGCTCAACCTTTCGACTGAGCCCGGTGGACCGTGGTTACGGACGGCCACCCCGAACAAGTGTCGGTACCACAACTGCTCTTGCGGAAACGAAACGACTACCTTAAGTGTGCACACCCCCTAAAAGGGATTCCAAGCTCTCCGAGTAGTAAGTCATCCCGAGTGGTCGGAACCCAACCACCCCACCTCTAAAATTCTTGAATGATTAGGGACTACTACTATAACTTCTTCTTAAAAGGGATCATAGATCCAAATGTCACTTGAAACTTAAACTGTACTTCTTAGTAGTAGTAGCTCTAATCACCCTCCACATTTATCCGGATGTGGAAAACCGACACCTCGGATTACTCCCGAGATGCTCACTTCTTATGAAAATGTAAATTTTATCTTCGCTTAAACAATACTTCAAAAATACTTCTTAATTTCTCTAAAAAGTCTCGAAGGTATTTAAAAATATTTAATACCCCAAAAGTACTTGATTTATATTTCTTAACTACCATATATATAATATCTCCTCAAAATCACATACACAAAATTTACAATTCACACTTAATCACATAATGCATAATAAGCATATAATACGAGGAAACAATTTTGGATTGACAGAGAAACTTACAATTTAGGGTTTATCCAAAACTAGTTCCAAAATAGTATTTAATAACATATTCAAAATAATCCAATAAGGATATTTATAACTCCAGAATATATATGTAAATTTTCATACCAAATTATACATTTAAAAATATATAATTTATCCCAAAAGATTTGATCTCACAACACTTTCCAAAAAGAGGGTTTAACCCAAACAAACACTTCCCAAAAGTAGCATTTACTACTGCCACCAAAATAATCAAATTGGAGTATTCTGAACCCATAATATATTTTCAATATGACCAGTTATAATAGTCTCAAATCATACTTCAACTCATACCAAAACAATCACCAAAATTTTCCAATCCCAAAAGAAAAATCATCAAAAATCACAATTTTAGCCATGATAAAATGATTTGATAAATTCACCAAAAATCACACATTCATAAATTCCCAGAAAAGCATACATCATCATAGTCATACTATGATAGCCGAATTATCCATAAAATTTCAGAAAGAAATTCAAATCATAGCACAAACCCTAGTTTATACAATATAGAGGCAAAATAGTAATTTTGGTTGCAATAGTCCTTACCTCGAGGCTAGCAACGAATCCTAAACGTTAAACCTAGTTTGATGGATCATTCGTACGTACCTAGGAAGTGATAGGTTTGAAGGATCTCAATTTAGAAGAAAGAAATTTAGGAAACGGATGAACGACGCGAATTAGGCAACAAACGTACTTACCGGAATATTGGATTGTTTGATCTCATCATTGGCATAAAATTTCGTGCTGTATACGTTAATATTAAAGAGCTGGAAGGGATAGAGCTTGAAGAGTCGGTCCTAGGGTTTTTGGAATGAGGAAAATCGGATTAGGGATGTATTTATAGTGAATTTCCGAAGTTTGAGTTGCATTAGGATACAACAGGAACGCACGCGTGTGTACCTTCCACGCACGCCGTGCGTGACCCCCAGACACCCCAAACCTTAGTTTTTGCCCCGTTTCTTCCCCATTTGGACCTCCCCTTTGTCCCAAACACTAAACCAAACATAATAAATGACCTAAAGACCGTGTAAACAATATGAAACACAATTTTAATTATTTCCCAAATTCTCTCAAATTTTCGGGGTATTACATGCCTGGGGAGGAAGAAGTTAAAGGGACAGTTTGGAGCCTAAGTCAGGAAGCAGCACCTGAGCCGGATGGATTTGGGGTTTTTTCTATCGTGGGTGCTGGGAGATTATTTAACAGGATGTTGTGATGGCAGTTCAAGAATTTTTCCTCAGTTTTCCTATACCTAAAGGAGTGGGCAGTGTTAACATGGTTTTAATCCCTAAAAAGCCTAATCCGGTGTCATTTGGGGACTTTCGTCCTATATGTCTTTCTACTTTTATTAGTAAGGTGAACACCAGGATACTAGCTACGAGAATGGGGGAGTTCTTGCCTAGAATTATTTCTGGAGAGTAGTCAGGCTTTATGAAGGGAAGGGAAATTAAAAATCAGATTCTAATTGCTATGGAGGCTTTACATAATCTAGACAGAAAGGTGAGGGGATCGAATGTTGTGGTTAGATTGGATATGGCTAAAGCGTTCGATAGAGTGGCATGGGATTTCCTCCAGGCTGTTTTGGGGAAATTTCGATTCAGTCAGCATGTACAAAATCTAATTCTGGGAAACCTTAAGGCAACCTACATTTCTGTTTTAGTGAATGGAGTCCCCTATGGTTTCTTCAAGCCTTTCAGAGGTGTCAAGCAAGGGTATCCACTATCTCCGTTGCTTTTCATTATTATGCCGGAGGCATTTTCAAGGGGACTCAATTACTTGGTGAATCAGGGGAGTATTGAGCCATACAATATAGGAAGAGGAGCTCAAATTACACATTTGGCCTTCGCGGATGACTTAATGATTTTCCTTAATGGGTCAACTAAGTCAGTTCAAAAATTTAATGACTTTCTGGCTATTTATCAATAAGCCTCGGGCCAGCTGGTTAATAAGGACAAGTCTTGCTTTGTTACAGGCAAGCATATTTCAACAACAAGGTCAGCTCAATTGGAATGTATACTAGGTATGAAGGTATCTAAGCTTCCTTTTAAATATTTGGGTGTTCATATTCATAAAGGTTTGACTAGAGTGGAGCATTGTAATGACCTCTTGGATAGTTTTGATAAAAAACTTTCAATTTGGAGAAAAAATGGCTGTCTCAAGGGGGCAGGCTTATTTTAATCAAACATGTTCTAAATTCATTACCCTTACATATTCTAGCAGTCACTAATGTTCCTAAATCAGTTCAGATTATTATTAAGAGGAGTGTGGCTGACTTCTTTTGGGGAAGTACAGATCATGTTAAAAAGCATCATTGGATTAAATTTAAGGAGCTCTGTAAACCTATTGAATGTAGACGTGTGGATAAGGTCCATAGCAGATCTTCAGAAAGTTAATTCTATGAAACTCTGGTGGGAGTTTCATCAAGGACAGTCCATGTGGGCTGAATTAATGAGGGCAAAATATGGTAGGAGAGCCCCAGGTGAAGTCAAAGTGTATGATTCCCCGGTGTGGGGAAGGATCAATCTCGTTTCAGAAGAAGCTGAGCACATGGTCGATTGGGGCTCTCATACCTTGGTCTGGAAACACACCAGTGATGGTAAGTTTTCCACACAGTCAGCATACAAAGCATTATGGCCTAGAGGGGGAAGGACACTGTCTACAACAAATATATGGAACTCTATTCAAGTGCCAAAGATTAGATTCTTCCTGTGGAGACTGTGGCACAAGGGTCTGCCTTTTCCTTGGTGCAAGAGGGAGAGTGTTTCTCAGGATCATATTTTGCTGCAGTGCTCTTTCGTGACTTCAATCTGGAATTACTTCGGCGACCTGTTACAGATTGGAAAAGGAATTGCGAACACTATTAAGCTAAATCTGATGAAATGGTGGATTGGAGTATCAGGAAAATCTATGGATTCAGTATATATCTCAGTACTACCTGGTGTAATTACTTGGCATCTTTGGAAGATTTATTGGGAACATGTTTTTGCTGGATCGGAACCAAGTCAGAGTAGTGTGGTGCATCAAATATGTAAATATATGATAAGATGATGTGGTGCGCATGACAAATTAAAGGGAGATGAAAGGATAAGAAGAGTAGGGATGATACCTGTGAACCTCAGGATGACGAGGCCTAGAACTTTCCGATGGATCAAGCCGGGTTTGGGGCAGGTGAAGCTCAATTGGTGTGTTTATCGGCAACAGGGGAAATCAGCGGATGGCTTCTTACTTCGAGATCAGGCGGGGAATGTGGTAGCTGCAGTTGGATTTCCGTTCTCTGGTTTTTCGAAGGGAGAGGAAGAGATCTTCAGGCATGCAATGAGATGGACGAAAGGTCTGCGGTTTCCTAATGTGGTAGCGGAGGTTCCTAATACGAAGATTCTGGAATTGGGTCGGTCTATAAACGGGCGAGATTGGGCCTTTTCAATTATACCGTCTCAAGCAAACAAGGCAGCCATATTAGTTGTGATTTTGGACCTTAGTGGACCTTTTTCTTGGAAACAAGGAGATATGATTCCACATTTACTTGGAGGAGCTCTTAAGCTTGATGCTGACTCTATTCCATATGTTTTTTGACTTTAGGAGTTATTTTGTTTAATTGTTTCTTTTTACGAAAAGGGAGTGCCTTTTCTGAGGTTCAGGCTTCGTCCCCCTCACTTGCTATATTTGTAGTCTTTTATTTATAATATCCGGCAAACGTTCCCTAGAGTTTGCCCCACTGATTTTGGTGGTTTGCCTATCGGGTTTAAAAAAAAAATTACTTGTGTAATTGTGACTTACTCATTCATGAATAGTGGAAGCCTGTTTACAATAGATTTGTAAAATGTAAGCCTCATTGCCCTGATGATGCCTGTTATATTAATGTGAAGCCTGATACAGTGATACCTATGTTTGACGGTTTTTATACCTATTTGACTATGGTCTTGTAAATTGTGATGCATCTGTGAGATGGTGATGCCTGTTAATGTGAAGCCTGATACCTCTATTTGCCTATTTTTGATACCTATTTCACTATGGATTTGTAAAATGTGATGCATCTATGATGTCTATTAATGTGAAGCTTTATGCCTTGATACATTTGTATTCTGAACTGCTAAATAAGATGATGGCTGAATATAATTTTATGAGTAAACATGATGATTCATATTTCATATATTCTGGCTCACAACTGTTGAAGTTACCTTTTTGTACTCAAACACTCAAACGAGTAGTTAGGGTGAATTAGTATCTTCTAAGTCTGTAGAGAAGAGAATAAGCCTACTGCTTATATCCTTCTGTATATCACATTGTTAATTGTTCCAGACTTTACTGTGAATGCATAAAAGTATTTGCGATAGTCAATATGTGATTATGTCATTTATGTGTTCAATGTGTTGATTGCATTGAGGTATTTGAACTATCTATACTTATCAAAATGGAAGGTCAATGTATTGTTACCATACCTGCATCTAGTTCTCAACCTCCTATGACTCCTATTTCTCAAGAACCTATGGTGGAAGCTTATGATGTTGGGCCTAACACCAGCACTCAGCAGACAAATGATGTTGATGTGCTTGTTTTTGGAAAAAAGAGAAAGGTGGTAGAGTCCAGATCCATAATAGGGGAATACTTTGTCAAGATAAAAGATAGTAATGGTGTCATTATTAAAGGAAAATGCAAACATTGTGCCAAAACATATTGTTGTCAGTCCAAGAAACATGACACTTCCTCTCTTAAAAATCACATACTGAACTCTCTGAAAATTCCTTGCTCAAAAGATACTAGGCAAGCCCTTCTCAATTTCCAACCAGTCTTGTGTAATCCAACACCTTAAAATACTGGAGTGTCGTTAGTGAATTGGGTGTTTGATCAAGGTGATGTTAGGAGAGCATTTGCTAAAATGATCATCATTGATGAACTTGCATTTAGATTTGTAGACATACAAGGGTTTAGGATGTTTATCTCTATAGCTTGTCCTAGCTTTCAAATTCCTTTTAGATGGACAATTGCTAGAGACATCTACCAAATCTATTTAGATGAGAAGATCAATCTGAAAAGGTTCTTACCGAGAAGATCTGCAAGGATGTTTTTGCGATGGAGGAGGGCAAAACCTGCAACATTATGGAGTACTTGACTCCTGATCAGCTCATCAAAGCCGGGATAGGTATTGTCCGTATTCCTGGGTTTACTTGACCGAAAACCAAGTGCCATGGGTCGGGCGGTCCTTCCCGTGCGAGAAACGTCCCTCTTTAGTTTCCCACGTGACAAGACCGCTCGGTACTAACTTTCGCCTTTGTTATTTTTTTCAGCTCCCAACCCAGATGCTCCCATGGATGACAGTCGTGTGCTTGCTGCTGGTGGAGTAGGAAAGAGGAAGAAGGCTAAGAAGAATAGCCACCCCAAATCTTCCACTGCTGCTCCTCAGAACACCGATCAGTCCCATCCTGCTCAGGTTGCTCAACCCATTCAGCAGGTTTCCCTTGAATAGGTCTTTGATGATGATATGCTGATAGACAACCCGTTCGGGTCAGACCCGCTGCATCATCTTTCGGATGCATTCCAGGCTGCTCAGGATGTGAGCATGGGGGTGGTCAGGCTACTGCTGCCGATGTTGCTGGACAGATCAGGCGGATCTCTCTGGAAGATTCGGTCCACGAGACCTTAGAGAAGGCCGACTCCTCTACGATCCAGATCTGGACTACTTCCGCCTTTTCAAGAATTTTCCCTTGCTTAATCTCCCGGTTGATCGGGTAGATGAATGTGTTGCCTTAATGGCTTTGTAGGTACTTTGTTTCCCCTGTACTTTGTTTCATACTTTACCACACATTCCTCATCTCATCTTTTATTCCCGAACGAATTGTAGATGGGGCTGTACAGCTTGCAACTGAGGGAGGCCCGCTTAGCCAAGGAACGGGAACTGATCATCACTCAAACTTCTGCCGAGCAGGCTGCCACTGCCGCCCTTGCAACCCTTGAGGACAAACAGAAAGCCTTTGCTGAAGAGAAGCAGAGGCTCGAGAATGAGTTGGGTGGGCTTCGGGTTCAGCTGGCTGTTTCCAAAGCTAAGGTCTTTGCTGCTGAGGCCGCTCAGATTAAGTTCGAGGAGACGCCCCCTGCATCCCGGACGGTCCCACTGAGGTGAATGTGGATCTGTCCGCCGTTCGGGAGGCATTCAAATCTTCTGATGAATTCGCCGCCATCAAGGAGGAGTATGCCCGACAACAACTCCCAGTAGTTTTTGGGGCTTATCTAGAGCAATTCCCCGGGGCGATCTTCGACATACAGAAGGAGTGAATCTGCTTGATCGGGACCCTCGGGGCAAGCATTTTAACGACTCCCTGGCCAAGTCTCTTTATGTCATGGACTGTCAGCACATTTTGCTTCCCTTCTTGGCTAAGCTGCAACAATTACTGGGCAGACTGGTCACGTCTTCTGATCTTCCTCTGGTCCCCATTGTCGAGGCTCAGTTCGACAAATATCAACGGGACCTGCAACGGGCCACCGATCGTGAGGCAGGAAAGGAGCCTGATCCCCCCTCGGACGAGGGTGAGGACAAAGATGATGAAGGTGAAAAGGAAGCCCCCGACCAGTAGTTTAGACTTTTACACATAGTGTTGTCCAATTACTAGTGTAACTTGAGGCCAGTAGTGCCGATGAATAGAAAGGACCTTTTTTTTGCCCATTTATCTTCCACGTGTTTTTTCTTTGTTCTCCCCTTCGGGGTTTGGTCTATTATATGGGACTTTAACTATTTTCCCATCTTCTCCCCATTTGGGTAATTATTCGTGCGGGGTGGTTTTCGTCTGATTGCGTCCCTTGACTCCTTCCCGTTTACCTTCGTAATTTTTTTGACGAAAGTACGGATTGGTCCCTGGTCGTGATTTGGCATTTGGCGTTTGGGATTCTTTGGTTGCTTGAAAACGCCATTATTGCTCGCAACTACTGTCGCCACGTGTCCCATATGCATTGGGGTTTTGGGCGGCACTTTCTTGTATAAGAAGAGAGGTGTTTCCTTCTCATTTTTCTTGTTGTTTCTTTAATCTTTTCTAGCGTTTCATAAGCTTTCTCTCTCTAGAATTTTTGGATTCTTGGTAGCGATTTTTCCTTCTTTTATGTTCTTCTCCTCTAGCTCTTCAGAAGAAGAAGATATGCTGCTCATTCGTCGTCCTAGGGGAAAAAACAATACTAATAAGGCGTGGGATTCTTCATCACAACTATCGGATTCAATCAACTCCTCTGTATCCTGTCATGCCGACCAGCCGCTCCCAGATGATGGCTATACATCGGGCGATGACCTTGTCACTTAAGAAAAAGGGATGCCCGAACTCCCCCTCACATCTCTTTGCACTTCCATTGCATAAGGAGGCAGCGCCAATGCCTTCCTGAAGACGCCGAACAGCGGATTCGCCAATTCCTGCCCCCCTCCTAGGAAATTTTATGCGGGTTTTATTAAGCACCCCATGAGGCACCGATCGGGACATGTTATGATGCATCTAGATGGTCTAGCAGCCGGGCTTTGCTTCCCCCTACATCCGTTTATTGTAGATTTCTTGCGTCGGGTCTCTGTACTTTCGGCCCAATTTGTGCCCAACACCTACCGAATTCTGATCGGCTTCATCATCCGGTGTCACGATCTGGGGATTCCCCCTAATGTTGACTTGTTTCTATATGATTACAGCTATCAGCCATACTGGACTACCAGGTACTTGATGATGGTTGCTCGCCCTGATCGTCAGTTATTCACGGATAATCCTACTGCTCCCGAAAAATGGGAAGAACGGTTCTTCTTAGTTCATGTGGGTAACCCGCTTCCGTTCCTCGACCGGTGGAATACTTACCCGGCCAAATATATTGCACCTATTCTGGATGCTGCCCTCCTTTGCTAGTACGATCGGCTTCGTCTGGGGTGTTCGAAGAATTTAGGGGCCTATGTCACCCCTTCCAAGATTCTAGTTGCGGGCATTGGTAAGCCTTTGTTTCTTTTAGACTGTTTGACTTGTCTGTCCCTCAATTCTGGCATCTTACCTTGATTTTACTTTGTGTATGTGTAATCCCTTCAGCCGAGGCCAAACGTCCCACCCCTTCTTCCACCTCAACGGTTCCCATTGGGAAAGGGAAAGAAAAACTAACCGTTGAAGCCTGGGGTGATAGTGAACAGGCCTTAAAAAGGCGCCGGGCCGATGGCAGTAACGAGCTCGTCCCGATTGATCATATAGTTGACTTGACCAATCCGGAGTCTGAGCCCAGGAAGTCTACTCCTCCGCCTGCTAAGTCAGGGGGTCCAGCTCTTGCCAACATGTCGGTCGAAGATTGGATGTTTGTGGAGTTCTCCAACATGGGGCCTCGAGCAGAAGGGAGGTATCTGTTTGGCGAAATACCAGGGTCCATGTGGTGCAGCACGTTTTTGAAGGCTCCCCTAGCTTCACCAACTTGACACACTGGACCGACCTGGTGGAGGTAGGTAGGTCATCTTGAGGCCCTTAAGGTATGACTTTATGGCCCTCGTATCTTCCTTGTATTTCCCGCCCGGTAGTGCCGAAGAATAAAGATCTGTTCTTTCAGATATTTTCCAATCATGCTATTTGTAACACCCCGGCCTCGCAGGACCCGAGGTAGCTACTCTAGACCAATAGTACTGTACTCACAAACCACCACGAGCCTTTACCGCGCACTTTGTCCTCACTCATGCGCGCCCTGAGAAACTTCCCAGGGGGTCACCCATCCCAAGACTACTCCCGTGCAAGCACGCTTAACTTTGGAGTTCTTGGCTAATGAGCTCCCTTAAAAGGAGATGCACCTTGTTGGTATGAGTAGTACTATTAATCCTTTTAAATTAAATCTCAAGTGTTACAATCACCCCCACTTAGGAACGCAACGTCCTCGTTGCGCCCATAAACCAATCTCAATCATATCCCATAATCTTTTCCCCTGCTAAGTGCCCGCCCGATATCCAACGGATCAGCACACTGTCGCATGGTTGCTCTGATACCATTTGTAACACCCTGGCCTCGCAGGACCCGAGGTAGCTACTCTAGACCAATAGTACTGTCCTCACAAACCACCACGAGCCTTTACCGCGCACTTTGTCCTCACTCATGCGCACCCTGAGAAACTTCCCAGGGGGTCACCCATCCCAAGACTACTCCCGTGCAAGCACACTTAACTTTGGAGTTCTTGGCTAATGAGTTCCCTTAAAAGGAGATGCACCTTGTTGGTATGAGTAGTACTATTAATCATTTTAAATTAAATCTCAAGTGTTACACTATTTTACCGTTCTTTTCATCTTCCAAACCCATAGTTCCGATGCTAAATCGTCCGGTTTTCTCCGATCCGGATCATCCATACTAAGGGTTTGAGATGTCCACTTTCAAACTATAAGTAGGATCTCCTCTTCGGGTCATTTCCTGCCTATAGCTAAAATGGAGACTTACCTCCAAATCAATAGCTTGGATTCCACCCTCCGATCCCATGTCGTCGTGGTTCGTCGAAGCTAATGATTGAGGTGAGATTTAAAAACCATAGTTCCGATCCCCCGTTCGGTTAATTCGTGTTACCAAATGCCGCTCGGTTCGTCCATACTAATGGTTTTGACATCACCTCCAAGCCGTTTTGATCCCTTCCTTTATTTGTTCAGAGCGTAGGGTCAAAATTTTAGCTGAGATGATGGCTCCCTCCAGGCCATAGCATAGATCCCCATTCGGTCATCCAGAATGGTTCTCAATGTTTATGGTCGAAGTGAGGCTTTTCTGGAAGTTATGTCTCCCTCTTTTTTTTTTGTAAGAGGTGGAAATAGCCGTTTTTATTGATAGAATTTCCTCAGGTGCTCAATGTTCCAGGTTCCTACCGAACGGCCTTCTATGGTTTTGAGGCCGAACATCCTTGAAGTGTATTTCTTCCAAACTTGATACGGGCTTTCCCAATTTTTTGCCAATTTTCCGCTCTCGAGCGGCTTTCTCTTTTCCCTTTTTCTGAGAACAAAGTCTCCTACTTCGATTGAACGGATTTTGACTTGCTTATCGAAGTATCTCCGGGTGGCTCTTTGGTACTCTTCGATCCTTCTTGCCGCAAGATCCCTCCTTTCCTCAATAAAATGCAGTTCTGCCCGCAAAGTGTCTTCATTACATTCGGGATCAAAATGAATCGTTCGGTATGTGGGCACTAGAACTTCTGTTTGGACTTTGGCCTGAAAGCCATATGCTAGTGCGAACGGGGTTTCCCCAGTGGCTGTCCTTGAGGTCGTTCGGTAAGTCCATAAGATATAGTTTAGCTAATCGGGCCATGAGGAGGAGAAATGTTCAAGCTTCTTTTTTATCCCACCCATTGATCGTCCTGTTCATATTTTCCACCTGGCCATTTTCCTTGGGGTAGGCCACTGATGCCCTAGAGTGCTTTATCCCCCACTTGATTAGATATTGTACGAAACACTTGCTTACGAACTGCCTGCCATTATCGGTGATGATTTACTCTGGGAGACCGAATTGGCAAATGATGTTCTGCCAAACAAACTTCTGACTCTGAAAGTCCGTGATGCTAGCCAAAGGTTTGGTCTCCACCCATTTGGTG